CTCACAGCACGACACATTTCCATCCACCCCCTTCACCTGCTCCACGCTGGAGGCTCAGGCACTCAGCCATAATCAGAGAGGTTATTCCATGCCAGGAATGAGCTCCTGGATCCTCCTGGCTCCCGGGACACCGAGGGCCGTAGTGGGCTCAAGGTGATCCTGAGTTTTTAATAAAGCTGAGCTTTTCCTTCCATCAGACGTGGTGTGGGGCAAGGTCAGAGGCACAGGGGACACCGAGAGAGCTTTGGTCAGGGTTTTGGGGGGTTTGAATGCCCAAAGCAAGGCCTTTGGGAGCCTTCCTGGGAGCTCCACTGTGAAACTCCACTGACTGGAAAGTTGTTTTGAAAACTCGCCGCTGTGTTCTAGAAGGGGGAGATGAAAAACAAGGCTGGGCTTTTTAGCTCGGGGCAAGGTTTTTGCACAGCTTTGTCAAGGCCAAACCTCTCTGCTCCACCAGGACCACATCTGACACCAGGAGTCTCTCCCGAGCCTCTCCTGCCTCCTTCGGGCTGCTGCTTTTGTTGACACAACACCATCAAAGGCACCTTCCCCTCAACCCCAAAGGGAAACCTGATCCTCCCACTCCCTGAAGAGCTGAGGAGCACGAGGAGCTTTTCCTGTGTCCTGCTGGGGCCACCCAGGAGCTTTCAGCAGTGCCGGCTGGAGCAGCACGGAGGATCAGAGAGGATCTGGGCATCACATGGAGGAGGAGCCTCCAAACCTGATCTCCAAATCCTGAAAGATGAGGAGCTTTTCCCTGTCCCCAGTGTGAGTGTGGGGACAGGAAACACCAGGAGAGGAGTCCTGGGGAGGTGCCCCTGCAGGGCAGCAGCACCAGGAGCCTCCTCCCAGGAAGGGGAAAAGCGGAGCCTCGGGGCTCCTGAACTCCTCTTGGATCCCAGAGGGATATCCCAGCCTGCAGTGGGAAAACAACAGGGACAGGGAGAGCCCTTCCAGCCCTCCTGACTGCCCTGGCAGCTGGAGCAAGGTGGGAGCAGCAGGGGGAGGATAAAGCAGACCCAGGAGGAGGAGGAGGATGTGCAGATCCTACAGGAATGCAGCTGCAATGCCTCTCCCTGCAAAGCCCTGGTGGTTCCAGCACCATTCCTGACTTTATAAACACAACAGGCTCACTTTTAAAGGGAAAAGCTTTTCACCTCTGTGCCATGAGCCCCTGGGACAGCAAAGCTCCTGGCCTTTTTGTCCCTAATTCAAAAAGGGATTTTCTGGTGTGGTTCTGGCCGAGACCAAGCCTGAAGAGAAACAGCCCAGGCAGGGCAGCAGGAGATTCTGCCTGTGACTTATCCCTGCAGGATACTGTGGACAGGAGGCTCCAAAGTGCCTGGGGCTTCTCTGGGAGCTCCCCTTGCACAGGGATTGGGGTGGGAGCTCACCAGGAGGGTTCCACATGGAAACAGGACAAACCTTCCTTGCCAGCAGGGCAGCAGATCCAGGGATGAACCCCTGCTCAGCCGAGTCCAGGCATCAGAAAAGGCCTCAACCCCCTGCAGCTCCTGCTGTATGAACTGATGGAATCATGGAATGGTTTGGGCTGGACCTTAAAGCCCACCCAGTCCAGGGACAACTTCTGCTGTCCCAGGGTGCTCCAAGCCCTGTCCAGTCTGTGCCAGGGCCTCATCCCCCTCACAGGGAACAATTCCTTCCCAATATCCCATCTGACCCTGCCCTCTGGCATTCCAGGCCCTTGTCCAAAGTCCATCCCCAGTGTTCCTGGAGCCCCTCCAGGTACTCAGAGTCCTGGGACTCTGTTTCAAATGGGCTTTGGTTTCTCTCCTGGCTGTTCAGCCCATTTTTGGGGAGCACCAGGGACTCTTGCCACTGGAACCAGCGTGCTCCAGCTGGACTCACGGGAGTGGGGCCTCACCCTGGCCTCCAGCTGGATAAACACATTCCAGCACAAAGCACCCCCAGCCCCTCAGCAGGATCCCCTGAGCTCAGATGGGCTCCAGTCCCAAGGACTGCCCAGGTGAGCCGTGCAGGTGAGGCCAAGGAAAGCATCCCCACCACGCAAAGAAGGCTCTGCCTGCCAGGGACCACCGGGCCAGCACCGGGCCAGCACCGCAGCGTCCCACACCTGGGGCTGGGAACCATCCTGCTCCTGCTCCAGCACACCCTGCCTGGGATGGGAAGGGCTGGGAGCAGCTCCAATGGCCAGGAGAGCTCGAGGGAGAAGAGCTGGGAGAGGAGGCACTTTCTGAAAACAGAGATCCTTGCTGCCCTCCTCTCCAGAGCTTCCAACCCCAAAGCTCTCCAGAAGAGCCAGGCACTGCCGACTCTCCTGCGCTGCTCCAGCCCCATCAGCCACACGTCAAAGCCATTGTTTCAGATCTAAGCAAAAAAATACTTTGAAACCTCAAAAATTAGGGTTTTTTTCAAGTAATTATCTCCCTCCTCCGTCTCTGAGACTAAAGAAACGCAGGCCAATTATTTCTTTGAAGGCTAAATATTTACTCCCAGATGAAGCAGCTCGGGCTGGAGGGGAATTATCCAGCTCTGATGTCATCTCGTGCCTGGCAGCCAGAAAACCCGGATGAAAACAGGTAGGAACAAACAGCAACAACAACAAAAGGGCGTTTTCTCCTGGAAAAGCCTCTCAGAAAGGGATGAAGTTGTGTCCAAGACGTTGTGCTCCCACTCTCTGCCCAGGGCTCATTAGAGAAGATGCTTAACGAGGGGGAACGTGGAGTGTGAGGGAACCTTTCTGAGCTAGACCCGGCCTTGGGAAAGGGCCAGGGTCTTATTCCAGAGCTGTGGAGTCAGTGGGGCAGGTGTGGGAACACCTCCACAGCAATTAGCCTGCACACACAACGAGTGGTGATCAATCAGAACGTCAACTCTTCCTTGTTTTGGTTCTTTTCAAACCTTATTTACAGCACAGGATTTCAAAGCTCCCGGCTGCTGCCCCCTCCAGTCGCTCCCCTTTCCCAGGCAGCGCTCTGGGTCTGGGGCACCCAAAGGAAGAGCGAATCCCACCAGGGGTGACTCATCCCTTTGGAAAAGCAGGAACGGGAGCTCTCCCTGCTCCCAGCCTCCAGTTTCAGCTGCGATCCCATCTCGCCATGACAACGTGCAGGAACATCTCCCCGGGGGATCTTCCCGTGGGACCTCACCCCACCGCGCATTCCCACAGCCATTCCCGTCCTTGGGGAGGCACTGACTGGGATGTGGCTCCGTGGGAGCCCGGGGCCGGAGCGGGGCAGCTCTCAGCCCGATCCTCCCTGGCCAGGATCCTGTTCATCCTCCCCTCTGCAGCCCCGAGCACGGGGAGAGCTCCAGCAGGGAAGGATGGATGGTCTGGAGGGGTGGGGTTCGTGTTCCCCCCCTGTTTAAATCCACAACTCCTTAACTCTCCCCTGTGGGAGTGACACAAATCACAAGGATTTTTGTGTGACACAAAAATCAGAACAGGAACGCCACACTTCCCAAGTGTGGGTGGAGACCCAGGCACCAAGAGTGAGCTGCTCACAGCTGGGAACTGCCAGGTGACACCAGCACCTGGGACCTGTCCCCAGTCCCTCCCCAGCTCTCCTGGAGCCCCTGCAGGCACTGGAAGGGGCTCTGAGGTCACCCTGGATCCTTCTCCTCTCCAGGTGAACGCCCCCAGATTTCCCATCTCCCTCTGTATCCATCCCCACCTCTATTTCCTCGTTCCCTGAATTCTGGAGGGCCTCAAGTGCCAGACAATGAAATAATTTGAACAATATCTGAGCAGTCCACAGTACTCAGAGCACAGGACAGGGAATTCTGTGCCCAGCAAAGAATGCTGGTGGATGCTGAGCTCCTTTTCTCCTTCCCCCTGCCAAAACAGCTTCTTGAACACTGATTTCTCCCCCCTGCCCCAAGAGCTTCCCCCAATTTTTCTGCTTTCCTCAGAGTTACTTTAGCGGAACTCAGGAATTAAAAGGAAAAAAACCAAACTGTTGTGGGTGACATTTCCAGCACCAGAAACAGTGTGGGAAATAATCTGCTGTGTTTTCCTGCCTGGACAGCAGGAACAAACCTGCTTTCCCACGCTCTCCCACCTGCATGGGCTTGTCTGCTCCACTCCCCAAAATACCTGCAGTGGGAGCCACTGGAATGAGCAAAGAAAATCTCAGCTCTGGGACAATGACTCTCACCATGGAATCACGGAATGAGACCTAAAACACACCCAGTGCCACCCCTGCCATGGGCAGGACACCCTCCACTACCCCAGCCCTGTCCAGCCTGGCCTTGGGCACTGCCAGGGATCCAGGGGCAGCCACAGCTGCTCTGGGCACCTGTGCCAGGGAGGAATTCCTGCCCCAAATCCCATCTCTCCCTGGCACTGGGAGCCATTCCCTGTGTCCTGTCCCTCCATCCCTTGTCCCCAGTCCCTCTCCAGCTTTCCTGGAGCCCCTTCAGGCCCTGGAAGGGGCTCTGAGCTCTCCCTGGAGCCTTCTCCTCTCCAGGCTGAACAATCATCACATCTTTCTCAGCCTTTCCAGTGTGAACAATCCCAACTCAGCCTTTCCCAGAATGAACAATCCCAAATCTCTCAGCTTTTCCCAGGCTGAACAATCCTGATTATCTCAGCCTTATCAACACAGGCTCTGGTGGCACAACAGAGACCAGCAGCTCCTGAGGAGACCCCTCAGAGCAGCACCGAGAACATGGATTCTGCCACAAACCCCACATTTCTCTGGGACACAGCCCAAATCCAGTGGGACACAGCTCAATCCCAGTGGGACACAGCCCAAATCCAGGGGGACACAGCCCAATCCCAGTGGGACACAGCTCAATCCCAGTGGGTCACAGCTCAATCCCAGTGTGTCACAGCCCAATCCCAGTGGGTCACAGCCCAAATCCAGTGGGACACAGCTCAATCCCAGGGGGACACAGCCCAAATCCAGTGGGACACAGCTCAATCCCAGTGGGACAATGCCCAGCCACACATGGAAACACGGAACCTGAGCCATGGGAAGGAGGGATGAGGTGTGGGGGGAGCTGCCAGGGCTCACCTGAGGCCAGGGGCCGGATCCACTCCTTGCTGTTGAGGTCGAGTCTCCAGAGGTCGTTGAAGGCGGCGTTGCAGCTGCTCTGGGTGCAGCCCCCAAACACGTACATGGACTGGTTGGCATCGTAGTAACACGCACCTGCAGCAGAGCACAGCTCCTGTCACTGCTCTCCCAGGGTTATTGTCACTGCCCACACGGTTATTGTCACTGTCACTGCTCACACAGTCACTGTCACTGCCCAAACACAGTCGCTGTCACTGCTCACACTGTCACTGTCACTGCCCTCACAGTTATTGTCACTGCTCACACTGTCACTGTCACTGCTCACACACAGTTATTGTCACTGCACACACAGTCACTGTCAGTGACACTGTCACTGTCCTGTGCCTCACACAGTTATTGTCACTGCTCACACTGTCCCCTCACACTGTCACTGTCACTGCTCACACTGTCACTGTCCCTGTCCTGTGCCTCACACTCAGATCAGGCTCTTTTCTTTCCTCCCTGCAGAAAAGCAGCCAGGCTGCCCCGGAACCACAGGGTATCCCTGAGCAGGGGGAAGCTCCAGCTTCACTTCCCAAGAGTATTATCCCCTCAGGCAGAGCTCCTCAAAGTGCAGAGAAAACTGCTTTAGAAGCCTGTAATTAATTAGCTTAGCTGTGATTAAGGCACTCAGCTCGCTGACCTTCCCTGAGCCACTTCACACAGCTCACAGACCCTGTGCACCCAGGGCTGGGGGTTTGTTCTCTTTTCAGGATTTCATTTAAAAATGATTTATTTTCATTTAAATGAAAATTTCATTTTCATTTAAAAAGCTCCACTTTTTACACAGGAGGAGCCACGGGCATTCCCTCTGCTCCCTGGGGGAAAGGATGAGGCAGCGAGATGGGGAACAGGGAGGGAACTCAAAGATACCAAACCAAGAGGTTTTGGCCCCAAAACAAAATCCATGGGGGTGTTTGTAGCATCCAGGTACCTCTGATACCTCTGGCAAGAGAGAACTGAGGGCTCTGCCTTGGAGAATTCCTGTAAAATTCCATCTGGAATAACCCCACAGCAAAATCACTGGGACTGTGCTTTCATATTTCGTTTTTAGAGTAATTTAAAGCTGCTGAAGATAAGGAAGGCAGAGCAGCTTGAGGGGGAAAAAAATAGGGGAAAAAAAGGAAAAAGCAAGCCCAATGAAAACTGCATTTTATTCCAGCCTGGAGGGATTCCACAGTGGGATTGTTGGGGCTGCTCTGAGCCAGGAGCTGGACTTTGATGATCCTTGTGGATCCAGCTCAGGATATTCTGTGATATGTTTATATATAGTTTTATATCAGGTCTAGAATAAATCAGGGGGAAATTGTGCACATCCCTGATGGTTTCAGGGTTATTTTTGTGTGGAAACAATGAATGGATTTAGCTGGGGTTTTTTTTCATGTCCCAGCAGAATTCAGTGACCCCCAGAGTTTCAGCACTGCAGAAGTGGCTTATTTTTGGAAATGAATCAACAATTCTGATGTTTGAAGACACTGATGCTCAGAGGAAGCAGAGGCAGCTGGTTCTGCCCAGCTCCTGACTCCCCTGTCCTGAGCAATGGATCGCCACAGATTTTCACCTGCAGCAGCTGATAACCAAAGCAGAGATGACTGGGAAGGGAAAACCAAATGGAAAGCACATCCCCTTCACTGTAATCGAAGAACATTGCCTTCTGAAAGGTGGAGAACATGAAATAAATCAACCCATCCAAGGGTTCAAGGGCTGTATTTCCCACTGGAGAGATGGGAAGGAGACAGCTGGGCTGTAAATCCCATCCCCACATGGTCCTTGGGTTGGAGGGTGACATCCCTTGGGCACTTGCAGGGATCCAGGGGCAGCCCCAGCTTCTCTGGGCACCCTCACAGGGAGGAATTCCTGCCCAGGATCCCATCTGACCTTGTCCTCTGCCACTGGGAGCCATTCCCTGTGTCCTGTCCCTCCATCCCTTGTTCCCAGTCCCTCTCCAGGCACTGGAAGGGGCTCTGAGCTCTCCCTGGAGCCTTTTCCTCTCCTCAGGTGAACGCCCCCAGCTTTCCCATCTCCCTCCATCTCCACCTGTTATTACCTCACTCCCTAAACTGCCACTGTCCTGCTCCTTGCAGTGCAGGGCCTGGGTGCAGCCCAAAATCCAGGGATATTGAGCAAGGCTGGGTGCTGGGAGGAGCTGCAGCTCTGCTCCAGGAGCAGCCCATCCTGTAAAACAAACATTCCAGCTCTCACCGCTCCCAGCGGGTTTGTCAAACCCACAAATTGCTCTAATTACTCAGCCCCGGTGGTGCCACCAACCCCGGGCTCCCTGGAAACAAAAACAATAAATCAGGGCTTAAAATTAGTCACTCCTCCAGCAGAGGATCGATATCCCTGGCACAATGGTCAGCATTCCTTCGCTGCCTTTCCGTTTCTGCATTCCTCAGCCTCCTGACGCGCTTTTCCGACTGCGGGCAGTGATTTCAGCCCGTGACTCATCGCCCTGCTCCGACCTCGCAGGTTCATACATAAAACAACCCGGTGACTCCTGCAGACATCACCCCAAAAAAACCCAACCCAAATATGGAGGATTTCTGCCTCTAAACACTCAGAATTATTGATATTTCCTGCCCTGAAGTTCTGCAGTTTCAGTGAAATGCTCTGGAAAAGTGACAGCTCGTCCAGCGTGTGCTCAGCTGTGTGATCCCTGCCAGGCTCCCACGGCACCACCTTCCATTCATTATTCCTTATCAAGCACTTCTGCCCTTCCTCCCTCCAGGACTGACAGCACACAGGTTGACTTCCAGCTGCTTAAAATTCTCCTCCTTGTCGGTTTGTGCTCCCTGTGAGCACTTCTGGGACAGTTCTAATCATTCCTGGAAGAGAGAGCCAGCCCCAGCCGGAGCTTTGATGGCAGCACTGACTCATGCCTGGCCGATGACGTCTTCCCACAAAAACCGGCGCATCGCTCATCCCTCAAAAAGGGCTTTGTGAGTCCTCCCCACTGCCCAAACCTCTTGTTCCCTCCACCTCAGCTCCCAGTCATCCCTTGGGATTTTAGGTGAGGGTTCAGAGATTCAGTTTAACTTTCTGGAATCGGTGATTTGTAGCTTTGCTCTGGCGCTGGAATCCTGCCCGCAGGCACGGAGCGCTGCCGCAGGGAAAGCAGAGCCTGCAGATCCGGGCAGCTGCTCACAAACCAATCCGTTTAAGTCAGCAAACAAGTTAATCCAGATTAGTTTTGTGCCCACAAAGTGCATTAATAACGCTGCCGTGGCCAGCGGGGCCGGGCAGAGCCAGGGCACTGTCACCGAGCGAGGCTAATGTGGATTACACGCTCCGAGGGCAGTGGATTTAGGGAGACAACTCACTCTGGAGCCAGGAAGCTCGTGGCAGGCAGCAGGATAAAGGAAAGAACACACATTGCTCTTTGGGGCAACTCTGAGCCTTTTCCAGGGAATTTCTAGCTGGCCTGAGCTCCAGGCAGTGGCAAAAACTGCTAAAATTGAAGGGAAATACATGCAAATGTGAAGTCATTAATAAGCACTTCACTAAGGCTGCTAAAAATGAGCTGTGAACTGCGGAGCCTTTTCATCCTTCGGGAGGGTGAGGATGTCTGGCAGAGCACAATGACTTCACCAGAGCTCCCCACAGCGTCTCCCGGACTTGTCTTGGCAGGAGGCAGCGGCTGCCTCGTAAATTATTGCTTGGGAAGATGAAAATGCGATGCCTGCTGCTCTTGGAATGGCAGGGCTTGCACTGTCTTTATCTCCCCTTAGAAAAATGCAATTTGCTTCCTGGAAGAGCTGGCCCCCAGAGGGCTCTGACCCCGTGCTGGAGCCACAAGGTGGAATTTTTGTTGTGTTTTGTTTTTGTTGGAGCTGGGGCAGCTCAGTGCTACTGCACTCCAAAAAACGGGGTTTATTCCCAATTTTCCCTCAAAGGCTTCAGGTATATTTTTCCCTTTCTGTTCTCTCCCAGAATCTCAGGAGCAGGGGAAGAATTCACACAAACATTGAGTGGTGCTGTTGACTGAACTGCTCCCTTTTGCCAGCAAATCCACCTGCAGCTCTGCTCAGTTTGAGCCCAGCACACTGCAGAATTCCCAGTTTTCCTTACAGATGCAGAGGACCTGTGTGAGCGGCTGGTGCACGTCCCTGAGCGCTGCACTTCCCAAACCCCCCGGCTTTGATGGGAATGACTCCATTCCCAATGGTCCAGGGGCTGAGGGAGGACACAAAGCTCAGCCCAAATCCTGGGGGCAGCTCTGGGTCCCTCAGGACAAGAAGGACACTGAGGGGCTGGAGCTGGGAAGGGGCTGGAGCCCCAGGAGGGGCTGAGGGAGCTGGGAAGGGGCTGGAGCCCCAGGAGGGGCTGAGGGAGCTGGGAAGGGGCTCAGCCTGGAGCAAAGGAGGCTCAGGGGGAATTTCTGGCTCTGCACAAGTCCCTGGCAGGAGGGGACAGCCGGGGGGATTTGGGATCTGCTCCCAAGGACAGGAGGAGAGGGAACGGCCTCAGGCTGGGCCAGGGGAGGTTTAGGTTGGATACTGGGGAAAATCCTACAGGAGGAGAGGGAACGGCCTCAGGCTGGGCCAGGGGAGGTTTAGGTTGGATACTGGGGAAAATCCTTCATGGAAAGGGTGCTCAGGCACTGGCACAGGCTGCCTAGGGCAGAACTGGAGTCACCATCCCTGGAAATGTCCCAAGGCGTGTGGATGTGGCACTTGGGGACACATTTAGGTCAAGGGTTGACACCACAATCTGGGAGAGTTTTCCAACCTGAGGAGCCACAGAAAGATCCCTGCACAGCCACAATCCCACCCCACTTCCACTCCATCAGCATTTCCTAGGATCAACGAGCCCACCATGAGCAGCAGCTCCCAAATCCCTGCTCTTGCTCCACGTGCCAGCACAGCCGTGGGACTGAACAGGGTGGGACTGAACAGGGTGGGATTGAACAGGGTGGGATTGAACAGGGTGGGATTGAACAGGGTGGGATTGAACAGGGTGGGATTGAACAGGGTGGGTTGTTTGAAGCCCGTGGGTTGTTTGAACACCAGTGGTGACGAGAGGCAGCTCCCACAGGGATTTCAGGGGGAATTGCAGGGGGATTGCAGGGGATACTCACTGTGTGAGAAGCGCTGGGTGATGGGGGTGCCGGGGTAGGGGTACGTGCGGCTCTCCCACTGGATGTTCCCTTCCTGCACTGCCTTGATGAAGCCGTGGTAGCACTGATGGGCCACACCTGGGGACACAACACCACAAAAACAAACTGTGTCTGCACAGCCACAGCAGCTCCAAACCCCCGTGCCTGCCTTAGAAACACGCCGGGAATGCGGGGAATTAGAGAGAATAAAGACAAGGGAACTCTGCAAATGTGGAAATCAGCAGTGTGCCTGGGTCACCACATCCCTGGCAGCTCCAGCTTGGGAAGCCGGGCCTCTGGGAAAGGAAGGAAGCACTGGGATGCTTTGGAGAGCTTGTGTGCAGCCCTGTGTGCTGCACCCTTGTTCCCTCATCACGCCCCAAGGGGCAGCTTCCCTTCCCCCAAGGAACCTCAGTGCAATAATCAATTTTTGAGAGTGTGAGTGCAGCTACTGCCCTGGGATCTGAAAAAAGTCAGAGAGGAGATATCAGTGATAAAAGACATCAGGGATGCTCCAAGGCCATCACCAGTTCTGTCTGAGGGGTCAGAGGCTGCTCCCTGAGGAGACAAAAGGCTCTGGAGAAGGATTCTGCAGCTCAGCAGACGCTTGGTGGCACCTGCACTGAAGATGCCACAACCTGCCAAGAGCTTTTCCCCAAGCCCTGTGCCAGGAACACCCCCAGCAAGAAATCCCACTCCGGAATATAAAGCAGGAAGGGATTTTTAAAATAAAAAAAATAAAGCCTGGGGGCCTCAAGGAGCTGATGCCCGAGAGTCACACGGGAAAGGGAAGGTGAGATTCAGGACTGCACGGCAGATGTATCCTGGCAAACAGGAAAAATGAACCAGGAGAACACGGAGCAATTGTTTACCTCGAGTGACCTCCCTGGGCACAGCTCGCAGGTGGTGGCTCCAAACCCTTTTTTGGCTGGAATTGCCCCAGAAGGGCCCAGCTGCTCTGCACCACTCGTCCCCTGAGAGGTGACACAGCCCACAGCCACTCTGAGCACGGGCTGCTCATCCCTCAGCTCCAGGGGTGTTTCCTACATCCCTTTGGGGTGAGTCCCAGACGTTTGTCCATCCCAGCTGCATCCTTTGCAGGCCACTCTGGGAAACAGCCATGCACCCACCTGGGGCTGCAGCACTTGGGAAAGGCCCTTCCCCAGGGCTGGGGGCAGCTGCTGCCCCAAAATGATGCACTGGGCCGTGGTCCCTGCTGGGGTAACTGGGGGATTTTAATCCCCAGCCTGTGCAGCTCTGGCAAAGTGGGAAATGCCTGGGATGTGAGCCATGCTTTCAGATGAGGAGAAATCCATGAATGAGCCATCACAAACTGCCAAGGGCGTTCCTCACCTCACACCTGCTCCTGCTTTCCAGAAGGAACACGTTCCCCTTGTCCCATTTCCTAGAATTTAACAGCTCTCATCTGAAACTCCTTGTTTTTCAAATGAAGCTCGTGATTAAAGTGTGCACCCAACAGAATCGTACCAGAAATCACCCAGTATATTAAAATAAAACCAAGCAGAAGGTTCTGCTTGTATCCTTGTCCAAATTTTCCCTCCTTATTTGCTGTATCATACTTCTCCAGCATGAAAACACCCCCAGGAGGCTCTGGGATGAATGCTGTGCGGAGGCAAAGGAAGGATCTGTGTCTCTGGGCTACTCTTCCAGGAAGCTGGAACACTCACACAGATTTTATATTCCACTTATCTCAGGCAGAGCTGGGGTTGTTTCCAGCTGAAAGCAGCAGCTCTGGGAATGTGAATTACTGAGTTAAAGCCACATCAGCCATGGGACACTGGCAGGGGTCTGGGGAGGAGGCTGCAATCCAAGGTCACTGGCGCAGCACTGGGAGCATCCAAAGGCAGCAAAGGAGCTGCTCTGTTCTGGGGCTTGGCCTTTGTTTCAGTTTGGGCTGGAAGTGACCTCAAAGCTCATCCAGCCCCTGCCAAGGCCCTTCCACTACTCCAGCTCACTCAGAGCCCCATCCAGTCTGGCCTTGGACACTTCCAGGATGGGAATTTGTGGCCTCTGTGGGTTTTCTATGCTGAGAGGCTGAGGGGTTCAATCCTGCACAGCTACAGGCCTGCTTTGAGCAAAGCCAGTGACCCCATGGCTGTTAGGATTTCTCTGGGATTTCACAGCAGGCAGATTTCAGAGTTTGGGGGGAAAACAAGAGGCAAAGGTAAAAGAGAGCTGGGCTCCAAATCCCACAATTAAAGAAACGCACTGCCATCACTTGTACCTTTGATCAGTCGATACCACTGTTTGCAGACAAGGGCGGCGGTTTTGTGCTCCTGGTAGGGAGAGAGGAAGGACAGGATGTATTCCAAAACCTCTTCTGGCAGCTCCAGCATCGATCTGGAGCTGGGCCTGGGCTCCTCCACCTCCAGCTCAGTGTGGGGCTCATCCTCCTGCTCCATCGTCCCTTCCACCACGGCGTCCTCTGGATCCACGGCCATGAAGCCATCGTCGTCGCTGTCCGAGGAGCTGGCCATGGCATCCCACGTCACAGCTGGGAAAAGGGACAGTGGGGAGGTCACAGGGAGGGTCTCAGATGCACTGAGAGGTGTGTGTCACACCAGAGGGCTCTGGCACGGCAATCAGAGCGCAGGATGTAGGTTTGGCAGTAGCTGAGGGTGGTTTAGGAACAGCTTTTTTCACTCCGTCTCTCCCCACCCTGCCTCCAGTGGGAAGCAGAGAGCCAAAGGCAAAGCCCTGGAGCTGCTGCTCCCTCACTGGGCACGAGGAGACATCACCCTGCCCTGCCCAGCTGGGATGGGGACAGGATCCCTGTGGAATTTCACCCAAAGTGAGACAGGATCACCACAACATTCACAGCCCCTCCACCCTGTGGAACCTGTTCTGCCAGCGAGGCTGTTTTACCCCAAACAGCTCCTTCTGGGGGAAAATTCCCTGCCTCGTTTTCACCCTCCTTTTCCCTGTTATTTGTGGAATACCTGCACACAGCCCTGGCTGCCAGAAGGTGAGGAAAGCAAATCCCCCTGGGATTTACTGCTGATGGAAGGCTGGGACAGCAGAGGTTGTACCTCCAGCTATTCCCAACATCATCCCAAGTGTAAGGTGACACCTCGACGACAGAAAGGTATCGTGGAATAAATCCACCTTAACGAGGGGCTGTGTCCAATCTGGGCAGCTGGCACTGAGTGAGGTTAAATCCGTGCCTGTCACTGCAGGACAAACCCCTGGGCTCCCTCTCCTGGGATGCAGCCAGCCTGTCCTGAGGACAGCAGCAGCACTTTCCTTTCCCAAGGTGCCTGAGTGGAGAGCAAGGCAGGCAGCTGCTGCTGGATCAACAGCCCAAGCCACACTAACAGCTCCTGGGGATTTCTTGTCCAGAAATTCCCTTTTTATCCTTTCCCAGCACAAGGAAAGGACCCAAACCAGGGTGAGCTTGAACTGACCAGAATTACTGCAGACAGATCCACACAGTTCATGGGATAAACCCAACCTGCAGCAAGCCAGGAAGCAAAGCAGCTCCTCAACAGGGAAGACAAGACACAGCTTTTCCCCAATATCCTCCAATATAAGGACAATATCATTATTTATTTCAAACACTAACCATCCCAGAAAATACAGCTGGAAGGAATTTAAGTTATTGATGTTTAACCTGGGTTACTCAACAGGATAAATATCCCAATATAGAAATATCCTGATAAAGAAATACATTGATAAACAAACCCCATTAAACCACATCAGCTCAGGTCATTCACCTGATTTATAAATGTGGTTTATTTATCAGGAACAACCTGAGCTGTCATTCCCAACCCAGGGTTTTCCCACGCTGTGGGAATGGCAGGCAGTGGAGACACAGACACATGGAAAGCTTTCCATGGCAACCAAGGGAACTGGGAGATTAAACCCAGGAAAACGACAGGCGACAGCATCAGCCCCCAGCGCTGTCGGGTTCCCTTGGAAAACCCAATCTTTGGGAGGAAGCATGGCAGAAGCTTGCACAGAGCTGGCATCCCAGCCCATGGCACCCCAGGCCATGGATTCCCAGCCCATGGCACCCCAGCCCATGGCACCCCAGCCCATGGATTCCCAGCCCATGGCACCCCAGCCCATGGATTCCCAGCCCATGGATTCCCAGCCCATGGATTCCCAGCCCAGGGCATCTCCCGGCTCAGAAATCCCTGCTGTGACAGGGGAGGCTCCAAATGCTGCCTCACAACTCACACCGCTCCCCGGGGACTGAGGGATGGGAAGTGGGGGAAAAAGGGAAAAGTGGAGCTGTGCTAAAAGATAATGGAAGAATGGAGGGTGGGGCTTTTTTCCGAAGGCATCCATGGCTGAGGAAGTGCCTGTGCTTCCATCGGGGTGCGGAAGGGCAGCAGGCTCTGTCCCTCCCTGGGAACACGGAGCAGCTCCCCTGGAGGTTTTGTGCCAGAACCCAGAGCAGGAGGGTTCTGCAGAGTGAAACCTCGGGAATTCTGCATCACCACGGATGCTCCTTATCCCTGCAATACAGGCAGCTCCAAGAGGGCTTCCAAGAAAGGCTTTCCCCCCCGCTCTTTCCCAACAGGAAATTGTTTTTCTTTCATACAAGTCAAGAAAGGATTCCTAAATTCCATCCACAGGATTGAAAATCCCAACATTTCTCTGTCTGTACAACCTCCCTGTGATGGTTTTGCCTGTTAGAACAACAGGGTTTAGGGACTTAGGGAAAAAATCCCAAATTATGTCATTTTTACCGCTGCCCATCGTCCTGGAACAGCATCACTGCAGCTGAATTTTGATATTTCTGTAATAAAAAGGTACCAACATCCCAGGAATTCCTCCCAGCCCAGTGATCACTGACCCTCTGCTATTCCAGATTCCTGCTCGTTTCTTTCCAAGGTTTCAATTAAAGCAGCAATGTGACATTACAAAGCAGGATTTACTGCACAAACAGCAAAGCAACTTAGGAACAAATCCTGCTGAATGTGTTTTCCCACAAAATAAATGCACTGAAAACCAGAATGAAAACGTGGAGGGGTTTTATCCTGGATTTATTGGTGGAGCACAAATCAGGGAGCTGGTGTTTGAGGGATGTTTTGGTGTGGGGTTCACAGGAAAAGGGGAAGCAGCAGAGTTTAACGACACCACACTTGAGGTGCATGTAGGGAAATAATTATAATTATAATACCTCATAAATGGCTCCAAAGCTTAATAAAAATCTTAATAGGTCTTAATAAATATGCAGGAAATTTATAATGGAACCACAAGGAAAACACTTCAGCTGCCCCAAAATCCAGCCTGGTTTTGTTCACATGCAAAACAAGGCTGAAAACACAATTCCTGTGAGTTCTGTATTTCCCTTTCCACACAAGAAAAGACAATCCTAAAATTCAGAATGCCATGAAAAGAAGCCAAAATCTCCGCCATCCACCAACCCCTCCACTTGTTAGGGATGTATTTGGAATTAGGAGAATTTCCATGTTTTTTGGACAATATTATTACCCTTAAAAGAGTTGGATTTGTTTCATTCCTGCCCAAAGCTGCCTTGCTAAGCCCTGGCAGCACAGGAGGAGCTGCTGGGGTGCAATAATCGGCTGTTCCCTACTCCCGTGCTCCCGAAATCCCCTGGATTTAGGAAGCTGGGAGGATTTCGGGCTCACACACTCCCTCTGCCGGCCCCTGCCAAGCCCTGGATTCCCATTATCCTCACCTCAACTTCTCCCTGCTCCCTCTGCGAGCCCCAAAACCTGCAATAACCCCATGGCAAGCAAATAAAAGGCTGGAAAATTGAGTTTTTTCCAAGGAAAAGGGCAGCTGCTCCTCCTGGTGTAACATCTGCTGTAGGAGGATGAACTTGAAACGATAAAAACATTTATCCAAACCTACTCAGGATGATTTATTGGCAAGGATTCCTGATTGGGAATGCTGAGCAAACACTGGGAGATCCTGGGAATTGCTGTCAGCCTTTCCTTCGTCAGGAGAGCACAGGAGCACATTAGGAGTTGGAAAACTGGGATAATTGTTTGGACAGCCTGTGAGAGTGTCACAGCATTCCCAGAGTTCTACAACACCTGGAACCTCCCAAAGTCACTGAAATGGGTTCATGCACACAAATGAAGGGAATTTCTAACAGAACTGCGAGGAGAACACAGCCACCGACCTAAATCCAGCTCGCTCCTGCTCATGTGAAACATCAGCCTGAAAACACAACTCTGTAAATTCTGGATTTCCACCCAGCCCAATGCCCGCGTCCAGATCCAACTGCCCGGGCGGAATAACCAAATGAAAGGTGTGGAAATGTCTTTGGAAAGGGTTTGACACCAAAACTAACACTGGATGCCTCAATTCCCGATTTTCTGACAGGTAAAAGAGAGGGAGAAACGGGATTAAATGCACAGGGAATCCTGGCACAGGGAGGTGTGAGGGGCTGGGAACAGCACCCACAAACCACCAGGCAAACCCCAGCCACAACTGAGCCACAACAGCAAAACACAAGCCAGGGATTCCACTGGAAACAGATTTAATGAGTCTGACCCACCCAAGGGGCTGGAGGAGAGGATTTGCTGCAGTTTCCACTCATTTGAGTGGAATAAATGAGAGCATTTGTTCTTGTTTTGTACAGGATTTTCTTATTCCTCAGCTAAGGGGAAAGGCAATGCAGGGAGAAGCAGAAGCACTGGATATTGGGGATGAGGAAAGCAGGAGCTCTCCTTCCATCCTTTGTGCTGTGCCTGAAGGCTCTTTAGGGAGCCTAAATATCAAACACTGAGAGAGAGACGACAAAAAAGCGCAGTCAAATCCATAATATGTGAATCAGCAAACAGAAATTCAGGGAAATTGTGCAAATTTCAAGTTCATCTCTACCATTCAATGACAAAATGAGCTCCCCAAGGTGTTCCTTTGTTACCATCCTGTCACCCCAACAAGGAGTATCAACCAGCACTGATCTGAGCAGGAGAACAGAGCAATTCCCTCATCATCACCTCCAGGAACCCTGGGATCCCAGAGCATCCAGGAATCCTGTCCAGAGCAGCCACAGCATGCCCTGTGCCCCTCCTGAGACACAACTCTGCAGAAACCTGAGAGTCTGGGAGGTTTCAGGAATTCCCAGCAGCTGCTGGGACTGGGGAAGAAAACACCCGGCCCAACAGCAGCTCTGGGAAGAGCAGGATGGATCAAAGGTCGGAGGAACTGTCTGCAGAAATTCCACAATGGATGAGTGATGCTGCACCTGGTTCTCTCCTTCCAGGTGTTCTGGGCAGGTGGCAAAAGGCTCCAGCACCAGGGACAAGAAAAGGCAGCGATTCTCACGGCCAGCCCCTTCCTTGGAAGCTCAGCACAAGGATAACTGCACCCAGAAGGTTCACGAGCCTCTTTTAAAGCACAAATAAATCACACTGCAGGCTCTCCAGAGTGACAAAACCCCAGCTGGAATGATTAACCCGTGTCCCAGATTCCCTGCGGTGAGAAGTCTGGAGAGGGACAGCTCTTCCTGCAGCCAGCCCAACTTCACAGCGAGGTTCTGACATTTCTGAGCTGCTTTTTACCCAGAAAAC